AACAGCATACGCGACCACAACGTGTTTGAAACTCTAGCATGTGTCATCAGGAGACAAAGTGCCTAAAACTAGATGGAAAGACTTGTAATCTTTAAAATTAAAAAGTGTGGATGGAAGAGCTAACGGTCAGAGCAAAATAAGCACAAAAACTACATTTTTTACTCAAAAATAAAACTCGAGGTATGGGGGGGAACTGTATTATGGCATTCAGGATTCTGTGTCGGCCATGCTTCTTTACAAGTTGACTGTGCCCACTTCTCTTGAGTCTATGGACTCTCACTGGAGGGTCAGACCGAGCTGAGAGAGGCAGGGCAGTAAGGACAATGAGAGCAAGGGGTAAAATAGGTCACCAAATCGATGACTAGAGGGGACTCTGGCCACTATCAGTCTCCTGGTGATAAACCAGAATTGATCCTTGACTAATTATTAAAAGAAAAATTGACACTCATGCCTGTTGTGCCTCCAGGAAGAAAGTCAGCTAGTGTGATTATCTCAAATGAAAGATGGTCCAGAACAATTCGCTCCATTCTGTCTCTGAAACATTTAGTGGGGTTCCCTGCCCTCATCACTTACTTGAGGAGTAATGCTATGCCACTGGTTCCCTGCTCTCAGGTGTTAAAAAGGGGCAATGGCACCCCATTCAAGGGTTGGCATAAAAATAAAATAAAATAAAATAAAACTTAGTAGTGTCATGCCAGAAGAATGTCTATCTCTGCTTCATTGACTATGCAAAGGCTTTTGACTGTGTGGACCACAACAAGCTGTGGCTGACTCTGAGAAGAATGGGAATCCCAGAACACTTGATAGTGCTAATGCGAAACCTATACTTGGACCAAGAGGCAGTCGTCAAAACAGAGCAGGGACACTGGATGATGCAAAATCAAGAAAGGGGTCCGTCAGGGATGTATTTTGTCTTCATACCTTTTCAATCTGTATGCAGAACAGATCAACCGAGATGCTGGGTTGTACAAGGAAGAATGTGGCATCAGGATTGGTGGAAGAACCATCAACAACCTGCGTTATGGGGATGACACAACCCTGCTTGCTGAAAACTGAGAAGAACCTGAAGCGCTTGCTGCAGAAGGTCAAGGATTGCAGTCTTCAATATGGATTGAAGCTCAACATCAAGAAAACAAAGATTCTCACCACTGGGCCAATTGGCAGCATCAGGATGGATGGTGAAAAGATTGAGATAGTTAACAGTTTTAGCTTACTTGGTTCCACAGTCAACACTCTTGGTAACAGTAGCCAGGAAATCAGGAGACGAATAGCCTTGGGAAAGTTAGCTGTGAGGGACCTCTCAGGAGTACTGAAGAGCAATGACGTTAGGCTGGAGACTAAGGTGTGCCTGATTCAGGCTATAGTCTTTGCAATTACGTGCTATGCATCAGAGAGTTGGACAGTGAACAGGGATGATAGAGAATTGATGCCTTTGAGCTATGGTGCTGGAGAAGAGTGTTAAATAAACCATGGACTGCTAGGAGAACAAACAGTTTTGTTCTGGAGAGGGTGAAGCCAGAATGTTAACCCTTGAGTCAAGGATTCTGAAGCTTCGTCTGACATACTTTGGGCATGTTGAAAGGAGGGACTGATCCTTGAGAGGGACATCATGTTTAGAAGAGTGGAGGAGCGGCACAGGAGAGGAAGACCCTTGGTGAGATGGATCGATTCTGTGAGTGGAGTGGTGGGAATTTGTGTTGGAGACGGCGAGGTTGGCACAGGATAGAACGGCATTTAGGGCTCTTGTACATAGGGTCGCTATGAGTTGCAAGCGACTCAATGGCACATAACAACAACAGCAACAAGCGTCATGCAGCCAATAGAGGCTGCACTCTGCCTTGCTCCTCCACAACTCATCCCACCTGGTGCTCTAATGTTTAAACACACAACTGAAGTATTCTGGCTGATCACAGGCCTTTCACAATTCTACCTCCTCAATGCCTACAGCACTTAGCTTGTATAATCACACATATTTATTAAATCCTACCTTGTTGTCTTGCAGTAACTGTACGAGGGAGAGGAAATCACCTCTGCAAACACTCGTAAATTCACACAGACATAGAAACCATACACAATGACCGAAGGGGCAGGGTCTCACTTCCCATGGAATGCAACATTTGAGGGATGGACAAAATGTTAATAGTATGCTTCAGTCAATCACGCTTTTAAAGAGCAGTTATCCTGGCTCCCTCTGCAAGTGGAGTAGAAGTCTTCTGGGGCAGAGATCCCCTGGTAATAGGGAGTTGTGCTGCAAACTTAAAGGCATGCAGTTCAAATCCACTAGCTGCTTCGTGGAAGAAGTCTGGGAAATCTCTTCCCATGTGGATTACTGCCTCAGAAAACCTGCTAGAGGGTCAGCTACGAGTTGATTCTGACTCAACTGCACATAGCAACTTTCTCCTAAAGTTCTGACCCTCTTAAATATAGGAAGGATAAAATGAGCCACCTTAAAGGTCCCATCCTCTCGGAAGATTTAGGAAACTGCCAAATCAGAGATACAGGTGGGATGCAACTAATATCAAGTTCCTTAAATGTCAGCCAATGAAATCTGGATTTTAGTCAGTGCAACAAAACAACCTAACAACTCTAAAGGACTGTCTATTAAACTGCAAAGAATCATCAACTTTGTATCCAAATACACTTTTGTCCTTCAGTAACTAAAGGAGGGTGGCTGAAAGAAAACCATTAAAAAAAGAAATTTAGCTCAATTTATTTTGGGGAGGGACACATCTGAAGGTCAGTCAGGTACAGTCTGATGCACCGCGGTACAACAAGTCTCCCTCATCCTGGGAGGACTCATGAGCAGTCTGCAGGAGAAATTCCACCTGCAGCATGAACTGAACCTTTACCAAAATCCGTAAAGCCATCTCACCTGAGTGTCACACAATACACAATGACCATGATACAGTAAGAAAAATACAATATCAAATACTCGCTACCTTGTGAGCTATAAGCTACTAAACAGAAACAACTTAGGGCTTTTAAAAAATGAAAAAAAATAATTCTATTACAGCTGTATTTCAAATATATTTCATTTATATAGAGCTTCACATATTTTCATTCAAAAAAGATAGCAAAGGGCCTTCTTCCTAGCATGTAGATAAAATATCTGACTTGTTTAAACATTTGCACTCTAAATACACTTTGCCACTTATCAGTTCAGGGAAGAGAAGGAAGTTGTGCTGTGGCAAAACACCTGATGGATGGTCAGGATTCGGGACTTTTCCGAGGTGGCTGGAAATCAAGACAAAAAGAGAACCGACTTCAATCTTTTTCAATGAAGTGGTCTAAATCCAGAGGAAATAGGCTTTGCATTTGGCTTGCAAAGTGTGTGGTCCCAAGTGGAATTCTTTCCAGTCCAAGTTGCTGCCTGTGGCTGAGAAGTGACGCTCACTGATGGAACGGGCGAGCTGGGAGGCAAGTGTTACGTGAACTGCAGAGATGGTCACTGATAAAAGCAAGCTCGTCCAGGTCCCTGAGCCCCACGCAGAGGTGAAGGGCAGCCCGCATTATCAATACACAGGGAAAGGACTCTCACTGAAGTGCGCACATGGAGCTCCGCGGAGGGTTAACCGTTCTTGACATGGGTTCCTGGTTGTAGTTTACAATGTCTGCCTTCACCACCCTCTGTCATAAAAGAAAACAGAGTTACTATCAGGGCACTGGCGCATTTAGAAACAGCTCCTAAAAGTGTATTTTTATTTTATGAACTTTGGTGAACTCCTGGAGATAGACATCATAAACGAAGCAGGGGCTGATATTAAGAGTGAACCAGAACACACTAATGGAGGTGGGTCTTTTCCTTGTTTTTGTTTGTTTTTAAGGAAGCGCGGCAGCTCACTGCTTGTGTCTCCTGGATGACATGCCGTTCACATGAGGTTATCACAAGTCTTACTGAGTGACAACTCAATACACAATGTGGCCCCTGCTTATAACTCAAAGCAAAGGCATCAAAATCATTCAGCACACATCTCTGAATTTGCAGATAAGACCAATGATTCATCATTTCAAAGTGAAAAAGTCCTTTTTCTTAATATTTTCATAAGTCATTACATACTTTTTGGAATTTTACAGCAGCTTTTTTAGTAAATAAGAAGAGACAAAATTGTTTAAAAGGACTCACATAAAAAGTAGAAATGTTTTGAATACCCCAGTTTTTAAACTTTCTTCCCAAAGCCCTAACTTAAGTCCTGAAGAGCTCACCTCAAGCTTTGGACAACAACCCTACAAAACTGGGCAAAAAGAAAAGACTAAAAAATCACCTCACATTTTAAAACCCAATTTCAGTAAAGGCCCCTTTAACGTGCCCTCCTTCCCCTGTAATGCGCCTGGTGGTGCAGTGTGGAACGCATGGGTGGTGTGAATCCCCCAGCAGTCTCTGAGGAGAAGTAGGAGCCCCTCATCCTGTGAGAGGTCACAGCCTTGGGCTGCGTGGCCCACATAAAGCGCGCAGCCGCGAGTCATGAGCTGGAACTGACTCAGTGGCACTGGTGGGTGGGTTCCCTGACGTCTGTGTATCTGGGTAAGATAAGCCTGAACTTCTAAGCAATATTTTAAACTAAAAGAGATCGTTTTCTGCTTTCAGTTCTCTTACTGCTACTGCATACACAGCAGACCAAAAGAAGAATTCTTTTTAAAAATCTGTAAAATAGTATTTCAGTTGCCATGTTATTAATACAAGAATAGTGGCGAGGTGTGAATAATGAAATAACTGCCTGAGTTTTCCACTACGCTGCATATGTAATAAACACAACTATAAAGATGAAAACATTTAAAAGAGAAATATTATTTTAATTTCTTCCTAACTTTTTGTTTAATCCATAAATCTCCTAGCAAAGAACCGATTTTTCAAAGTTCTGAAATAGCACTAGAAATTATTAATTAGCAGGAATGTATAATAATAATGATCTCAACTCCCCAATTTGTAGAGAGTAAGTGAGCTGGCATTCACTGTTTCCCCCCAACCGCTTTCCCAAATTCAACAGTTGATCCATTAATACCTGCACTACTGCACTGAACAGACTCTACTCTGGGTGGAGTTGGAATGTTGACAATCTTCTTCCGGGTACTTCACTATTTCTGCCCTGACAATACGCTGTCAATTCCGTGCAACATACACAGGATGGAAAAAGGAACATACACACAAAAAAAAAAAAAAAGAAAAAAGAAAAAAGAGAGACAAAATGGAAAGTATGTTCAATGCAGAAAATTGAAGGAACCATTAAAAGCAAAGAAAGAAAATCAACATGTAAATTTAAGTACTTCACAAAAGAAACAGGAGAACACAAAAGGAAAGGAAAAAAACCCATGAAACATTGTACAGAACTCGCAATTATTGACGTGCATTTGTCCACTGAGTCTCCCTGACAAGTTTTAAGTTCTATTTTTGATGCCCACAATTACATATATTGTATATAAAGCACAGCACTCCTAAAGGATTCTGGAGGGTTTTTGTGCTCAAATGTGGCAGAAGCATTAATTCCTTTCCTCCGACATTACTGAGGATCCACTGTGTGCGAGTGTGCACTGGGACTGCATGGCTAAATTTTACAGGTTCTGGTCCTAAGTTGCTGTAGACTTACTGAGGAGAAAACACATGCGCTTTACTGCAGGCCTTCTAATGTGTGTGGGAACGCAGCGGAAGGCCCAGTTCATTTTCTTTGAAGGTGGGAAGAGGGATGCAAAAACCAGAGGGAGCTATATGCTAATGACAATTTTTAAGTTTAATAATATATATCACTTGTCAAGGACTTCCTTTGGATGCTAACTCCTCCACCCTCCCAACCCTAACCTCTATACTTTCAAACTCTGTAAAAAAAAATGACCAAGTTCAACATACAGTTGTCTGTTATCTTTTTTTAAAAAAGGGGTGGGGGTGGGGGGAAATCACTGAATGCAAACCTTAAGAAAAACAGCTGTTGCTTTCAAATATCTAAGAATTTTGCTACATGAGGTCTCAAATTTATTTTCACTGCTGTAATTCTTCCCCCTCTCCAAATTGTGGGGTTTATTAGAGAAATAGGTTGGGGAGTAGGAGAAGCAAAGAATTTCACACAATGAAAGTCCAGGTTTAGTCCAGCAGTCACAAGCCTGGTTCCAAGACACAGTTCCTCAATTAGTGAAGGTCCAGGTTTAGTTAGCAGCACAAATGAACCTCTGGTTTCTTTAATTAGTGTAGCAAACTCTATCTCAGAGCAGTTACAAATCAGCTTTTCCTTCAACCATCCACCAGGCAAAACCTTTAACTGTGGCTCCATCTCCAGGGTTCCTCTGGCTACACCTTGCTATGGTCACTTTATATTCTCTCACAGTCTCTTTCACATTTTTTTTCTCTCATTGTGTTGTTTACATATGATACAAATAACAATGTTTTAAAATTTGAAACTGCCTTCACTTTCCTTAACACTGTAACTGTTTTAGCATTTCCTTCATAACAGCTTCAATGAATTTATGAACACATATAGGAAAACACTGTTAAATAGGATGCTGTTTGTAATGAAACCTTTAAATGAAGACTGGAAAAACAACTGATAGTAAATGAACAGATGCTAATGTCTATGAAGTTGTCAGCCTTGGTGAACTCTGCTGAAGTTCTCTAGCAAGTGGTATTAACTCTGAGACAAGACTCATGATTTATGAGGCTCCCAGCCTGACGCTATCAAAAGCAGCATTACTGACTGCCAAACAAGGTATGAGGGGTAAGTCAGGGCAATGCTGAACAATTATATGGCCTCCCCAAGCCTAACTGTTTCACGCCAAACTTTGGGTTACAGTGAAGAAACGGGATTTTTATAATTAGCAAGTAACTCATTAATCCCTCAAAAGCTGCTTTAAATCCTATCCTATAAACACAACCAGGTTACTGACCTGTGGTCAAGACAATCTGGTCAAAGCACTGAGTAATATAAATGACTTGGATTGTCATCATTTATTTTCATCAAGCTGATGAAGAACTAACAAGGCAGCATCTTTCTCGTGGGCTCTGACTGACACAGGGCTCTGTACAATGTCCCTGAACTGGAAGCCACAGCCAAGGCTCTGCAGACTTAAAGCTTGACTTGCTATGAGCAGAAAAGCATGTGCTATAAACTTCATGTAGGTGATTTTACAGTAGTCAGCTTGTCTGAGTGTCATTTACTGATGTTTCAGAGAAAATGTTACCCACCTACAAAAGACCAACTTTTAGCTTGAGAGCCAAAAAGCACATTCAATGCTCTCTAAGTTAATGAAAGACAAATAATGAGGTGACCCTAAGAAGAAAAGAACCACGCAGCTCAACACTGGCTTAACCTCATTTTGTCAAGAGCAGCAGCGAGCAGGAATGGTGATGATGTGGTCACCACACAGAGGAAAACAGGAAAGAACCTAGGAAGAGGAGTAAACAGGTGTGGCCAGCAGCACCGACTTCCAGGAAGACACGGAATACAAGCCTGATGGATTCTGCAATTGTACCTTAATCTGCCTCGCAGCAACATATTTCCATTAAAAATGCCCGAGTTTGTCCAGCCAAGTGCATGTGTAAACATACCCTGAGCATACTTGTCCCTATCAATCCCTCAAAGCCACACACTAGTCTAGGCATTGGAGACATTTCTAAAAACAAAGCAGGGTCTCTGCTTTTGAGCTGTCTAAGTCAACAATGGGAAACAGTGTGTAAGGAATACTGTGGCCGCCACACACTCAGTGTTACAAGGTCATCATGGGTTATCATTCCGAGCACAGACGCTGTCTGTTGTTGCTAGGGGCCGTTGAGCTGGTCCTGCGGTCGGCCGTGCACCATCCTCACAATCTCTGCTCTGATGCAGCTCATTGCTACATCATGCTGCCCTCTTCCAGCGACTCATCTCTCTTATGAACATGTCCAGAGTAAGTAAAAGGAAGCCGGCCGTGCTCCCTTCCAAGGACACATGCTTCTAAGCATGGTGGTACTTCTTCCAACACAGACCTGGGAAGGCCGCAGTGTATTTCGCTTCTCTCCAACTGTCCAATACACGTGCTCTCAGTTGGTAGATCAGAGACAACAGGGTATGAGGATCCAAATCTGGATTCAAATGCTGGTTCTGTGACCTGTTCTCCCTAGATCTAAAAGCAAGTTAGTTAACATCTCTCCAGCCTCAGTTTCTCTGCCAGTAAACTGACGAAATGCCATCTGGTCTACAGTTCCTAAGGTGTGTTATTAATCTGTTATAATATTAAACAGGAAGGCAATGCAAAATATTTAGGAGTTTTCCACACTGAAGTATTATACTTTATACTTAGAAATCTTAGTTCTACTACTCTAGAGAGATTACACGTTCAAGAAATTGTTTCTAGTAACTGAAAATCCAATTAGCCAGACACAAACATCTGTTAGAGGGAGAAGCTCAAAAGCATAGTCATTCCTTGCTTTCTGTGTTCCACCACAGTCTTAGAAGTGCTGAACGGTGAGTCATCTGAAGCAAATCTTTGTCTCCTTCTTATATCATCTTAGGCCAACACCAAGTAACTCAAGTGATGTGCTGAGGAAGAATTTACGCAGCACATGGTATTATAGCACTGTGCAAGGCCACAGTAAGTAGAAGTCTTTTTTTTAACTGTAAGAAAAGTGTAAATCTCTAAAAGCTCCAAATATTTTAATCAAGTCCTAGAGACAATCAAATCAGCGTAATAATTTTCAATTGACATCTGCTCTACTTGCTTTTAAAGCACATAACTGGGTAAATCATCAGAATAAGGCAAAGAAGAAAAGAAAAATGTAAGCGTGTGACAAGATAATTCTATCTTTTTAGTTGCAAGGGAGGGGAGGTAAGGAAGTAGAGGGAAAATGCAATTCATTTGTTGCTTCTAACCAAACCACTTCTGAAGTTTAACTTTAAACTATAGGTTCTTGCTCTGATTTTTCACTCTATCAAATATGTGGACTGGTATGCTATTCTAGTGGTATTTTAAATACTTGACTGCTGGTGCTCATGTTATTTCTACGTCTAAAAGTACTGGTACACTATATTTTGAGGGAGGGGGAAAAAAGCACAAAGAATTATGCAAATCACATAAACCAGCAGAAAATTATGATTCATTTTATTTGGTCAGTGACCACTCCTTTAAAAATTCTACTCTATTTTCTCCTCCTAATTTAAGGTTTACTTTTGGGTTCTGTATTTCTAGATTACTTTTCACTGAAGTAAATTCTGATCATCCACTTGGATAAAGAAAAGTGGTTTGGTTTTATTTTTTAAACAGAAATTCTTATCACATTAATTAAGCAAAGGAGCTTTAAAAATCTCATTATCTCTCCCAAAGTAAACATATTTCTTTCCCAAAACTGCTATTTTACCAAACTCAAATATGTTCATAGAAATAGAGATATATACTATAAAGCCAGGTACACAGAATTTCTAGGCATAGTGAAAGAACTGCAAAATTCTTAGTAATTAAGAATATTATTAAACCAACAAAAATATCATTACAATAAATTACGGTTTAGAGATGAATGGATAGCACAGACTTTTGAAAAAAGTATAAAAAACTAAGTGTTTTATCTAAACAAGCATAGAAGATATCATATAATGTAACCACTTCTGAATTACAGTTAAACTTTGAGAAATTATTGTATAAACTATAAAAAATAACTTTAGTATAGAGTAATTTTGTAAGATAAATACAAAACAATATGGCAGGTACCAGCACAAGTATGTTTAACTATTGATGAAATGTTTATTATATCATTCTTTTTCTTTTCCAACAAAAAAGACCAAAATGAGATGTCAAGGGTATCATATATAGGAGAGGGAAAAAGCCACGTTAACATCCTCCACTGTCTGCAATACACAAAGGGTCATACAATCTATTTGAAAAGCTGCTAGACGTACGTACAAATGCACAAATGTGAAAGCATTCAGTCGAAAATTAGTATCTCGTCTTTTTTAAAAAGATAAAGCTCAGGATAATCACCTGTGACTGTTCTATTTCTGCTTTGTTTAATTTGATTCCCAGGATCTCAGCAGCAACTTTCTGAAAACACAGGAAGACCTACATCACAAAGACAAGTTTGAATGATTTAAAACAGGCATATGTATGTTAGCTTCAGAGAAATTCAACTTTCCTTAAAAATGATAAACAGAAAGCATTACAAAATTATGGTGTCTCAGGTGATTCTAAATTTAACTGTATTTGGCAAATAAAGTAGTATTTTAAATGAAGCCATTAAAAAAATTATTACACCATAATTTAAAAATTCATACTGATCAGGTAATAAGCTTACCTATAAATTTTATGTAGCTTAAGATTTAATGTAAGATAACAATTACAGATAACACATTAACAAAGTTTAAGAAAGAAAACAAAGAAAATAAAAGTCTATCGTCCGAAACAAACTATCATAAATCTTAAAGAAAAGTAAGACTTCACTTTGTTTTTCACTGTTGATCCCGACTTACAGAGACCCTGTGAGGAAGGGCAGGGCCACCCCACAGGATTCCCAGGACCATAACTCTTATGGACAGTGATTGCCACATCTTCTTCTGAGACATGCTCATGGGTTTGAATGAACTTTTCAGTCAGGAGGCACGGGCTTTAACCACCATTGTAGTGACTGTTATTAGGTGCTGTCAAATGAGTACAAGGCAAAGCAACCCTTTGAGTAGCCAGTCTGAACTCTGCCCTATCCTGTGCTATTAACATCATTTCTGACACACTTGAGCCCACTGCTGATGTCACCGTGTCAACCTATCTTGACGAGGGTCTTCCCCTCCTTCATTAACCTTTCATCTTTCTAAGCATGACGTCCCTTTCCAAGGAATAGCCTTGCCTAGCGACATGCCTAAAGTATGAAAGATGAAGCTTTATCTTCTTTGCTTCCAAGCTGCACTCTGGCTGCACTTTTTCCAAGACATACCTGTTTGTTCTTTCGGCAGTCCATGGAAATATTCAGTACTCAACTTCAACACCATAAATCAAAAGCATCAATTTTTCTTCTGTCATCCTTATTCATTGTCCAGCTCTCTGATGCATAGCAAGTGATTGAGAAGACCATGGCCTGAATCAGGAGCACCTTAGTCTTCAAACTAACATCATTGCTCTTCAGCATCTTGAAGGGGTCTCTGACAGAGGACTCGCCCAATGCAATACATCTGATTTCCTGACTGCTGACACCAAGAGTGTTGATTGTTGAACCAAGTAAGATTAAATAATTCCTGATAGTTTTTATTCTTTTTCCAACTATCATAATGTTAACTGTTGGTTCTGAGGTAAGGACTTCTGTGCTCTTGACACTGACGTGCAATCCATACTGAAGGATATAGGCCCTGATCTTCTGCAGCAACCATTTCATACCCTTCTCACTTTCAGCAGCAAGGCTGAGTCATCTGCACCACACAGCTTTGTTGATTAGGGTTACTCTATCCCACTGTAGCGAAACAAAAATCTTCACATACTTTTCTATAAGCAGCTTTCACATATATTTTACGTTGGGGCTCCTACGATTCTCAGAGCTCTCCTACAGGTACTTGCTGTCACGCATAACTTGTTTTCACAGGGCCCTGCAGTATTTGCATCTCATAGTACTAAATATTTGTCATTTTTCTTATTTAATTTTTATTTCTAATCTTATTCATCAAAGAGATGCATAACCCTGAAAGTTTTCACTCATTTGTTCCTTAAAAAGCTGACAGTATTTTCTCTTTCTAATTCTTTTTCTGATGGTTAATGGTCAAAGAAGAACAGGGAGAACCAGTTGTTGGAGTGCAGAAATAGAGTAAGTGAATAAGAGATAAGAGATTAAGGAAATGCAAATTATGGAAGATCTTGTAGGTTACTCTGGGTAAAATGAAAACCATGCAATGACTTCAATTTTTACAGAATCCATCTGGTTGTTATAATGAGCATTAACTACAGAATACCAAGGGGACAAAATGAGGAAGTAGTGAGGGGCCTTCTAGGAACCCAAGTAATTAGATGAAGGCACAATGGCAACACATTTTGAGCTATTCAAGGACGAAGACCTAGGACATCTCAACCTTTAGAGATTGGAGAATTAGGAATCAGCAAAGGGGAATGGGTAGCGGTTCTGAATGAGGTAGGAAGAAAACCAAGAGGATGGGAACTTAGGTGGTAAGAGGAGAAAATACTTCAAAGGAAACAGAGGAATCAACTCTCTCCTAAGATGAAATCAAGTAAGATGAGGAATAAGAACTAATCACTGGATTTAGCAACAACACTGATGTCCTTGGTCATGCTGGTGAAATAGTAGGGACAAATGTCTACTTAGAACTGTTCAAGGCAGGGAGGAGAGAAACCAGAGACAATAAAGAAAGCTAATTCTGAAGGAGTTTTTATTTAGCTGCCAAGTAAAGGAGAGTCATAAGGCAGTAAATAAAGATGTGAAGCCATGGTCATGAAGGTGGAAATTCATGCTGCTCTGGGAAAAATGAAGCTCCAGAAATTGATGGAATACCAATGACATATTTCAACAAAAAGATGCAGCCCTGGAGCTGTTCATTCAGCAGGATGTGCCAAGAAATCTAGAGGACTGCGGGACAGCTCCCTGGCCAACTGACTAGAAGGGATCTGCATTTATTCCCATTCAAATAAAAAGGTGTGACAGAGTGTAGAAATTATAAAAAAATATCACTAATCTCACACACAAGCAAAATTTTACTGAAGATTATCCAACAATGGCTGGGATGGTACACAGCCAGAAAGCTCGCCGAAATACAAGCTGGGTTTAGAGGAGGATGAGGCACTTAGTGACAGCATTGCCAAAGTTAAGAGGATCCTGGCTGAGAGCAAACAGTACCAGAGGAATGTCTATTTGTGTTTCATTAACTAGGATTTTGTGAATCTCAAAAAACAGTGGCTAACACTTAGAATGGGAATCCCAGAAAATGTGATTGTGCTCATGTGAAACCTATACTTGGACCAGGAAGTGATCAAACAGAGCAAGGAAACACTGCATGGTTCAAAATCAAGAAAGGACTACATCAGGGATGTGTTCTTTCTCCATACCTTTTCAATCTATATGCAGAACAGATCATTCAATTTTATGAAGAGTAACGTGGCATTAGGATTAGAGGAAGATTCATCAACAACTTGCATTATGCAGACGACACAACCTTGCTCACTAAAACTGAGGAAGACTCGAAGCATTTGCTGTAGAAAGTCAAGGAATGCCATCTTCAACATGGATTGGATCTCCACATTAAAAACAAACAAACAAACAAACAAACAAACAAAAAACCAACCCAAGATTCTCACCTCCGGCTTCCTCGGTTTCACAATCAACACTCTTGGCATGAGCAGTCAGGAAATCAAAAGATGAATTATATTGGGGAAAGTCAACTGTCAGGAATTTCTCTAGAGTACTGAGGAGAAACAATATCAATCTGGAGACTAAGGTGTGCCTGATACAAGCCATGGTCTTTCCAATTACTTACCCTGCATCAGAGAGCTGAAAAATAACTGAGGAAGAATGATAGAAGAAGGATTAATGCCTTTGAGTTGTAGTGCTGGAACAGAGTGTTGAACATACCATGGACTGCCAGGAGAACAAACAAGTCTGTCCTGGAGAGGGTGAAACCAAGCTGCTCCCTGGAGGCAAGGATATTGAAGCTCTGTCTCACATACTTTGGGCATGTATCCAGGAGGGACCTGGAGAAGGACATCATACTGGAAAAGGTGAAGTAACAGCACAGGAGAGGAAGACCGAGGATGAGATGGACTGACACGGTGACTGAGGTACGGGGACAGGCATATTGGAGTTTGACTCAAGATAGGGCAGAGTTCAGAACTGTTGTGCATAGGACTGCTATGAATCACAACATAACAACAACAAAATACTGGAAGCTAAAACCAATATGAACATGGAAAATAAATGAAAAGTCCAATGAGTACATGGGCTCACGAAAAAGTACTGGGAAAAGGCCTTAAAGGAGAGTTCACATTTTAAAAATATTAAATATCCCTAACCCCTTATATTACCCCTTATAGTTGGAAGCTGGAGTGGCACCCACTTCCTAAACAACATGCCTCTGGAAACTCTATGAACTTTGATAAACGTCGATGGTTATAGAAAGGCTTCAGGCCTTTTGTTCAGAGGGTCACTAAGAGTCATGCTCAATGCGACAGCAATCAAGAACCCCTTATATTATTTTACTTTTATCCTAAGCATTGAAACGATTATGCAATAGAAAAACATTTAATGAAGAAAAACATAAAAATGTTTGAACTACAAAAAGAGTCAAACTTCTTTTCCTTGACGATATCAAAGAACTTAATAATTAAACAAAAAATGGGCAGTGAGGGAAATTCACAAAAATTGTCTGATGTTAAACACTGAATTATGTCTTTCAAAAAAGGTATGGGGAAGCTCTACCTGCTAACCTGTACCTGTGGGCGTGGCTATACTTACAGTTAGTTAAAATGCTACCTGTTAGGTTGACAGGAGCTCGAATAATTCTACGCAGCTGTGTCCTTATAAAAGAGGAGAAGATGCAGAGAGAAGAGGTGTCAGTGACATGGCAGCTGCAAGCCCAGAGCCTGAAGCCAGCAGAGCCAGGAGAGAGGGATAGATCAGGTGCTCCCTCAAGGTCTCACACAGACGCAGGACTACCAGCACCCAGAACTGCAAGACTATAAATTTCTGTTCTTTAAATCACCAACTTTGTGGTAGTTTCTTCTGACAGAAACGAATTCACTATCTACTGTGGAAAATAATATTTTAAAAATGTAAACATACCATAAAAAGAAAAGCAATACCTAGCAAAGTTTTCAAATTTCAACCTTGAGAGTAATCAATAAAATTCCCATTTAAATGGTAAAATATCTTTTTTTGGCCATCCAATTAGGCAAATATAAATATTTAAATAATAATATTTAAAAATAAATAAGTCAGTCCTGAATGTTATTAAAAAAGGGCACACAGTGATAAAACACTCATAAAAAGCTGGTGTTGCCAGCAATTAACGAAGCCTTTCTAGAGGTTTGGCAGTATGTTTCAATCACTTTTCTAGGAATCTACCCAAAGGAAATAATCAAAAATTAAAAGCTTATGTACAAAAACTGTGTGTTAGAGGGTCATGTCTGAAATTTGGAAACAACTCTTACGTCCCACAGCAGGGAGTTGGCTGAACAAGTTCTTGAAGATTTCAGATAGGAGGTCTCTGTTGTTGTTATGTGCCATCGAGTCACCCGTGACCCACAGGGACCCTGTGTACAGCAGCTCTGCAGCCCGCCCTGTCCTCAGCCAGTCTGACTCCGACACACCAACTCCCACTGTCTGTGAACCCTGTCTCCCCCTCATGTGACCTCTATAAGCCTCTAGAGATAGCACGGTCGGTGGCAGTGGGCTTGTGTTTCCTGATTTGATTTTAGTCTCATCTGTACGGTGAAGATAATCGCGGTGGCACAAGCCTGAGAGAAAGGTCTCAACAAATCAATACTCAGCAAGGAACTAGTATTTCTGAGCATCTGTCAAAATGACCAGAAGGAATCATGAAGTTATGCATAGTCATCCCTTGATACTGAGATTAGGGGTAATTTATATTTTCTTCTTTTTAAAAAAGAAATGTCTTATTTAGGTCTCATAATTCTAAAATCATATTAAATAATCACAAAATTCTCTTAAATGAGCTATAAGAGAACTCTTACCAAAACAAATAGATGACATCAGATCTACGTTTATGTTTCCAACAGGAATTCATTAGTTCCAAAAGTTAATGAAGAGATCTTTCCATGAATATTGGTAAATAAAAGTGAAACATCACTTAAAATCTTCAGTATTCTACTTACAGAATCTCCAGTCTTGGCTGAGACAAAGTGGCTACTAAAGCCATTTTCCTGGCAAAACCGCAAATGTTTTTCAGGTTTTACCGTTCGCATATGCTCCAAATCAACTAGAGAGAGAGAGAGAGAGAAAAGATTAAAAATTCAATACTGGAGTCTAGCAATACAGTTTTTATATTTAACACATTTAAGTTAAATAAACATTAAACTGTTCACTAAACTGCACTGCAGTCCCAAAGGTACGTGGTTCGAGGTCACCAGCTGCTCCATGGGAGAAGGATGAGCAATCTCTTCCCACGCAATAACTGCCTCTGAAAACCTGCTGGAGGATCGGCTATGGGTCAGTTCCGACTGTATAGTACACAACAACAATAAACTGTAAATACACTGCCCACTATTGTACCCAAGCTCAGGCAACAGCTGGGTAACTCTGAGTAATTTCTGCATCCTCTGTGTATATTCTGCCATCTAAAAAAACAATATAGCGACCTCACGCAGAACTCCTTGAGAATTAATCTCTGTACAGAGACTATGCACAATTACCAGCACGCATGACAGGAACTCAAAGCCTGTCAGCTGCCACTGTTCTTATCTAAAAGCTTCATGCACACTCAAGAGTTAAAAAAAAACAAACACCCCAAAACACACAACCAACTCGCTGCCGTCAAGTGGGAGCCTCTGGTGGGGTTTTGGAGGCTGTAAGTCACAAGAAGGAGACTGTCCATCTTTCTCCCACACAGTCACAGCTGGATCTGAACCAGTAACCTTTTGGTTAACAGCACAACTACCTTCAGACTATGCCACCAGAGCTCTGTGATGCATTTAAGCGCTGTGATTAAAGGTAAGGTGTTAATTGCCAAGGCATATTTGGAGCAAACAGTAATTTCATAATTAGCAACCATAGTAGTTTAATAATGAAACCATTTCTGAATACATTCTCATACTAACTTAGTTACAAACATGGTCCAATATCACAAAGATCCAGTTCAGAATCCTTTTTAAGAGTAATGAACAAGAGTTTATTTCCTTGAAGTGTTGGAGGTACTTTAAACCACACTTCTCAAATCCAACACTCGTTTTATCTGACACAGGCTGTTTTTTCAAATGTGATCCTTTATTGAACAGTTTTTCTTTTTATAACACTACAGACCCTATAAATGTGTTGACTCAATGCCGTCAAATAATAAGGCAAATATATTCACAGGAGTTAAAGAACAACAAGGTTCTTTGAGTTACTATAGGGAAAAAAACTTAAACTGATTTCCTGAGGAAGGGACCCAACTGACTTGTAAAAACTTGTAAATTTGCAAATCTAGTAAGTCTACATAATAGTAGCAATTGATTATCAACTAAAAAATACTCTCATACTTCATAAAAGGCTTTATTTGAAATTATATTGAGAGCCATTAGTCTGTAGGCCCCAGAGCTCGCTCTCTAGAAGATACTCTTTCTGATCCAGTCGGGGATTCCTAAGCTCCGTGTCTATTGCTTACTTTGGCAATTTTTTGGGTCAGGGGGACCAGGAGTTGCTTTCCTGCGACCTTATTTAAAAGAACAGTCCAAAAACTGTGCAGTTAGCACAGGCACCAAATTGTGAAAGACTAAAATACTGTCCTCTTAGCACTGACGCTTATATGCCTACTTCATCATAATACTGAAGCGAAATACTTTCCTAATTCAACAGGAGTAAGAACAAATCATGCCACCAGGAAAACCCCCAGTGAAATCACTACTCAATTCCATAAACATGAAGTCGTATCGGTGACTATGCCTGACTGGTAACCCTCGCTTCTTCTGATGGATAAAACCCTGAGTACTGTTCAGTCCGTTTCTACATGCAGAATTCAGCTGCTACTAAAGCGTCAGTGGTTTGAACCCGCCAGACACTGAGGGAAGAGACAGGCCGTGTGCTGCCGGGAACATTTAAAGGCTCTGAAACCAGAGGCGGGTTCCCATAGGTCAGAAATGACTTGACGGCAGTGGGGTTTGGCTTTAGGTTTGAGTAGGACTGAGTGGACCTGCCCCACACAGGTTCTGGGCTGTGATTTTTCCAGAAGCAGACAGCCTCATCTCTCTCCAGAGGCAGAAAGGTATCTGGGGGCACTAGAAGCACTGATCTTTTCTTTACCAGCCCATCACTTAACCCACTGCGTCGTCTACCGAGAGCTCCCTTCTAACGGCACAGTCTTTTATCAACGCTCTGGATTTGGGCGGGGAGGGGGGGGCGGGTGTCTCCTTTCTCTCCCTCACTTCAACCCTCCAACTGACATATAAATTACCAACAGCTTTGATGAATTTAATACTTAAGCAAACATTATTTTCCTAATAAAGATAACATAACTTGTCAACCAGGTAAAAATCCTTTAATTCAAGCAGACTAATGAGCTGAATACTGTGAGAACACCTGGAAATGTCACCATGTCACCAGCAGTACAGTGAACATACTCAACTCTACTCATTGGCAGTGAATCGGGACTGACTCATAGCTGACCCGCCAGCGGGTTTTCAGAGGCTGTAAATCACATGCGGGAAGATTTTTCTCCTGTGGAGCAACTGTTAAATTTGAACTGCCTGCCTTTAAAACTGGCAGCGTAGCTCTTTACCACTGGGCCGCCACAGCTCCCTGCAGTGAACAGAATCATCATTAAGAATCATAATAAAGGCTCAAGATGACAACAGCAACTAGAAAGATTGTATGAGCGGCAAATTTGTCAGTGGGAAGGAGTAAGATGGAGAAGGATGGTGGAAATGGCTACATAGGTTCAAGGATGTCATCAGTGTAGCTAAATGTTATGCAGAAAACAGCTGAACTGCTATGTTCTATTGTGTCTATTTTCAACAGTGACAACAGAATTTTTTTTCAAAGAAATTGTAAAAATTAAGTTGAAAGATTATGACAATGAAACAAGCCAATCTCCTCTGGTGAGACGGAAGCAGCAGTCAGTGGCTAGCAAAAACTAGGAGAACATTTCACCTAACAGAGAGGTAAACTTTTAAGTAGAAATCCAGTGACATGTTAGTAAAAATTCTCTTTTCTTGACTGCTGTTGTTTGCCATCAAATTGGAACCGACCCACAGCTGACCCTCCAGGGGGGTTTCAGAATAAATCACACAGAAGGAGATTATGCATCCCTCTCCCAGGGAGCCTCAGGTGGATTCAAACCTCATGCCTTTGGGATTCCAGTGCACCTTCTTACCATTAAGCCACCAAAGAGGTGACCTGACGGCCTGAGTATCTTTACAGTCTGTAACTATTACCCATCTATCACATATGTGAAAAAATCCTTAACTGCTCTAATAATTCATTTCCTTTAAGTACCTCAGTTACAACAACACTTTTCCAAATCTTACTTTGCAGTGTCTAACCAACCAAAGTGGTGGGGCATTAATATGCACACGGGAGTTTCCCCACCACCACCACCACACTACACCAAGCTGTAGCACATGCGTAACAATTACAGTGGATAAATGCTTCATTGTTCACACAGACAACAAGTATCTGAGTGTCTAATGGAACCAGGCCCCATCCTGGAAACAGCATATATAACCACCAGTCTTAGATGTTAGTGAAAGAAAAGCAACCAACAAGTGAAATACAAAGTATGGCAAATGCTGGTAGACATAATAAAGAAGAAAACTGGAAAGGGGCGTCGGGAGGATGCTATTTTAAATTAGTAAGTAAAAGACCTTAAAAAGGCTAGAGTACCAATGCCTTTGAGCTGTGGTGCTGGAGAAGAGTACTGAACATACCATGGGTTGCCAAGACTACTAGCAGGTCTTGTCCTGGAGAGAGTTAAACCAGGTTGATCCTTGGAGGCAAAGACTTTGAAATTCTATCTCACCTACTGTGGGCATGTTGCCAGGAGGGGCCAGTCCATGAAGAAGGACATCATGCTTGAAAGGGTGCAGGCCAGCACAAGAGAGAAAAACCATGGATGTGATGGGTGCACACAGAGCCTGTGATAATGTGGGCAGGAGTGTCGGAGACAGTGAGATGGCTGAGGATAGGGCCAGGTTCAGAGCTGCGGCCCACAGGGTCACTATGGGGTGTAGTCAACTCGACTGCACATAACTACACCAGCATCAGGCTATCTAGAAAAAAGTCCTTCGTGAGAGGGAACAACCTCAGCTGCAGTATCTCAAGTGTTGGGCTGCTAACTGAAAGGTCAGCATTTCAAATCCACCAGCCACTTCAACAAAAAAGTCATTCTTAAGTGTGAATTAATATTCTGGTTTGAATGGAAACACTCATATTTACTGCAGAATGTCTACCCTATCCTGCACCAATCTCACTATCTCTGACACACCTACCCGCATTACCCCAGTCACTGAATCAATCCACCTCATAGAGGGTCTTCCCCTCCTGTGTTGTCCCTCCACCCTCCCAAGCATGATGTCCCTCTCCAAGGACCTGTCCCTCCTTGCAAGATGTCCAAAGTATGTCAGACCAAGCTTCAGAATCCTTGCCTCCAAGGAGCAGCCTGACTTCACCCTCTCCAAGACAAACTTGTTCGTTCTCTTAGCAGTCCATGGTATATTTTATACTTTTCTCCAGTACCACAGCTCAAAGGCATCAATTCTCCTTCTATCCTCCCTAGTCATTGTCCAACTCTCTGATGCATAACAAGTGATTGCAAGGACCATGGCATGTGTCAGGCGCACCTTAGACTCCAGACTGACATCACTGCACTTCAGTACTTTAGAAAGATCCCTAACAGCAGACTTTCCCATCACAATACATCTTTTCATTTTCTGGCTGCTGGTGCCACGAGTGTAGCCAAGCAAACCAAAATTGTAAACAATCTCAATCTCTTCACCATCCATCATGATGCTGCCAATGGGCCCAATGGTGAGAATGTTTGTTTTCTTGATATTGAGCTTCAATCCATACTGAAGACTGAAGTCCCTGACCTTCCACAGCAAGCGCTTCAGGTCTTCCTCAGTTTCCGCAATCAGGGTTGTGTCATCTGCATAATGCAGATTGTTGATGATTCTTCCTCTAATCCTGATGCCATACTTCTCCTCATAGAGCCCAGCCTCCCAGATAATCTGTTCTGCATAAAGATTGAAAAGGTATGGGACTGGATACATCCCTGGCATATACCTTTTT